TGTAATGATGACGTCAATCGTGCGTCTGTCCTCTAATAGATCATAGGCGAGAACCAATCAAAATGCGAGAATAACTTGGGTTATTGTATAAAACTCAATAGTGCACGCTGTGGCGTTTAACATTTGTTAATTGAACTCAATACGCACACGTGCATTAGATAAGTTAAAAAATGAAGACATTTTCCCTGACCTGTTTCTAACAAGTCATAGAAATATCAATGGTACAATCGCTTTTAAACAGGCGATATCCTGCAGTTTTTTCTTTGACAATAAAACCTAATAAGCTTTGACAGAACAAAACTTGATTATCTTCTAACGCGAGGTAGCCACACATGGTGGATGCAAATCTTTCATTCAGAACTAAAGGGTGGAACAAGTTCAAAGGTATTTTAATCAGTCGAGCTCTGTTTTGGTTTAGTCAATCTTTCCTGCGAAGTAAACGTCGATTTTTGTAGTTATTATATCACTAATTTCCTTGCTTTTGTTAGTATTTACTTTACTGTCAGTTACGAAGCGGTAATGATCGAGAGGTCAATTGACCATTCTTTTTATCTTCTCAAAAAGTGTGATAAGGTTATTAAACTCTTGCCGACATTGTAGTGGAAAACAATAACGGAATTTTTCAACAATTACAATTAACACCGTAAAATGCGAGATGATTTGAGAGAAAAATAAATTTTGTGGCGAATTGTTATTGTTATTGGCGAATTGTTATGTTAATGCAAGGTAATTACTACTGTAGGTTTTGTTGCATTTCTAAAGCATCTTATCATCAGCTTTAATTAACGTGCGAACATATTGGCTCACGTATTACAGTGAAAGATAAAAACTAAAGAAACTAAACGGAAAATGTGGTATCTGGTGTTGCTCTCACGGGATCTTCTTTGATCGAGTTTCGCTGGATTTTGGTCATTTGTCTAAGGTATGAGATATTTTCTGTTTGTTGTTGTCTCAATAATAAGAGACGTTAAGTCTTGGTATGTCGATGAGTTGTATGAAATCTGTGCTCAGTAAAAGACGGATGTAGCTTATGGCTTCGGGACGACTCGTGTTCATATTTGTGTTGGTTTTCTTCCAGTTCATACGATTGATACTTGCAGCCCTAAATATTAACGGGCTATATCGTGTATGAGTTTGTATATATCTATCGTTCAACTTAATAATAAGACCTCTGATTCTCAAAACGGTTAGATGTGGGTCCCTCCACTCCATTCAATCAACATTCAGTCACATAACAGTTTTGGCTTCTTTCACGCGTCACGACTATGATCAAAATTATTTTACGTTCACGCAATAATTCATGCCATCACTCTTGAACAACAAATTTACGGATTAATATTTTCAAATCCTGCAAGTTGTACAGACTTTTAGAGTAAAGAATACTGAAGGCAATGGAAACCTGGGAGCTGACTCATTTTACTTATAGGTAGAATTAAAGGCCTAAAATCGCGAAAATTTATTTCAAGTTCGCAGCGCCCAACCACAGCGCAAAATTAACATTTACTATGGAACAAAGATTACCAAAGGTTAATTCGCGTAATACAAGATGTCTTACGGGTCATGCGTTCACATGCGCATGAAAAAAAAAATGGGAATAACTAATTACAAAGAACTAAGAACTTAAGACTCGTTTCACGGGAAAATAAATAGCACAATCACACTTCATGCAAAAAGTGTAGCTGGGAGACCGTCTTACTTTTTTTATGTTAAAACTGAAAAGATTAAACATTATTCTTCCAACTATATGTTTGTTTATATCAGTTTTCACACATCATTTGTGACGAATTGTGGACGCAGAACTGCCTTCGAATGAAAACCACATTGAGACAGCAACTTGTTTATTCACAGAATCGTTACGCACGCGTCGATAGCAAAAAACTTTCATACAAGTCCATACAGAAGAAGATACAATAAGACGTTACAACACGAGACGAGGAGGTGAGATGAGGTGAGGTGAGGTGAGGTGAGGTGAGGTGAGGTGAGGTGAGGTGAGGTGAGGTGAGGTGAGGTAAGGTGAGGTAAGGTGTGGTGAGGTGAAGTGAGGTGAGGCGAGCTAGGTGAGGTGAGGTGAGTTAACGAAAACTAGGAACCATAGAAAAGCAAAACCTAGAATTACAACACGCCGAGTGCCAAAATATAAACAAAAATTACAGCAATAATTGAGTTCGAAATAAACAGAAAACTTACAACTGTGTCCTTTAATTTTAACAAATGTTCTTTAAGGCGCAAGAAGTCCGTGAAACCGCAAGGAAAACCGTAAATAACCTTAAGAACTAACCGTTCGACCGTGAAAATATTAATGTGCCTTAGAAAACGATTCAGTTTGAAAGCAGGTCCATAACACGAAGCAAAATATTAACTTTACTGAGTTTGAACCAAAACAGAGAGCAAATAGGACTTGCGGTGGTCTCATGGTTAGTGCGCTCGTCACCGGATCGAGCGGTCCGGGTTCGAGCCCTGGCCGGGGACATTGTGTTGTGTTCTTAGGGCAAGACACTTTACTCTCACAGTGCCTCTCGACACCCAGGTGTATAAATGGGTACCGACGAATTTAATTCTGGGAGTAACCCTGCGATGGACTAGCATTCAATCCCGGAGGGGGGAGGGGGAATTAGAAATCCTCCTAGTCGCTTCATGCTACGGAAACTGGGATAAGCTCCGGCCTGATGGACCACTTGGCCCATATGCAGGCTTTACCCTATCAAATAAAACTGATCAAAATTTTATTGCGCAGGATCATTAACTAAAATGGATGAAGTGGAGATAACTGATCTGTGTGTCCGCACAGAAGTGGGTATCAGTCCACACGAGCTTGGAAAACTCCAAGAGCTTTACATCACCATGCGACTGAGAACATCCATCAAGACAGCTGGCGAGACAGATCGCGTCGAAGATACCATAAACAACAAGACCATTACAAAAGAAGTTCTCTTCCACGTCGAAAACAAGAAATACAACCTAATTGAAGCAGTCGCGACTGATGTAGCGCGTATCTGCGTGGTGCGGCGTGGTGTATCTTCGGTTAAAGTGATCATCGCAAAACCAAACGCCTTGCGCTTTGCTAA